GGTATCTGTGTGTATGGTTTTTTTTTTTTTTTTCCTCTTCCTTTCTTTCTTTCTTTCTAAATACCATGGGGAATAGATAGAAGCTTCCTAACTTTTCTGTTTGCCAATATATCAGTTGTATCCTTTGGCTTATTAATTATGAAAAGTGATCTTTCTCAGAGGGGTAACAGTGCAGTATTTATTTTCTTTTACACAGGCTGGCATCTATGTGGTCATATGAAATTTGGCATAGTTTTGGGGTTTTTTGGTTTTATTTTTTTAATGGAGCTACTTTCTTTGTTTGGTTTGGTGTTAGTGTTCTGGCGCCTTCTAATTTAATTTGTTTTGCTGTTGTTAATTAATGAACCAGGTAGCACTGCCTAACCTGGTCAGTTCTCATCCGTACACAGCCTGAAGTCTGGAAGGGACTCAAGTTTCCTGGGACATACATGTGGTGAATAGCAGAGATTAAAATTAGTTTCTAAATTATTAATCCAGATTAATGGAAATAAAACAGTACTTAAATTTTTTTTGTCTTCTCATTTTCATTATTTGTACACACAGCAATTATGAGAAGATGCTGATTACAAAATTGATGTGTATTTACCCCGGACAGTATTTACTTGTCGTTAACGTGAGGGTAAAGAGAAAGAAAAAAAATGATAGCATGTTATTTCCAGTATTTATATCGTGTCATCTCTCCTCCCACCCAATTCCTCCAATTGTCTCCTAGATTAGAAACGAGTATTGTTTCTATGGGCGTTTTTATTTGTTTGTTTGCTTTTTAGATATTTTCCCCCTCCCCATCACCTGCCTTTCCCCAGTGGGAGTAAAAGAAACTAACAAGGCATATTATTTTCATAGTCCTCTGGCCCGTTCAGATGATGGAAAGTCAATGTGAAGTAAAAGAAAACTGTATCAGGCAGAACTGACACAGCCGTGTCCGGGCTTTCACCAGCACTTGCTGATGCTAGGACGTCTTCCCAGTGACTGGTATTAAGGTAGTAGCAGGTCCATACTAGCAGCGTTCCGAGGGCCAGGCACAGCTGAATTTCTGCCATTCCCGCAGGTTCATGTGCACCTGGGATCGGCCACACCCAAATGGTATCAGTCAACAGTGTATCTATCGTGCTGTGTGTGTGTGTGTGCGTGTGTGCGTGTGTGTGTTTTTAATTCACGATTTCCTCTTGTAACTCAACGAAAGAGTGTTAACTGTGTGTGTGTGTTTTTTTTTAAATTCAGTTTTGTATGCTAGCATTCTTTAAATGTCTGCCAGAAGTTTAATTTGAATTTCTGATCCCTGAAGGCAGCTAGACAGAATCATTCTAGTTCTTCATAAATTGCCTTCTATGATTCATTGTTAACTCATAAAACATACTCATTTCTATATTCTCAAACAGTTAAGGTAGTTACAGCATCAGGGATATAATTTTTTTTTTGCACTATTTTTAAATTGTCATTTGAGAAAGAAATCAAGAATTAGTTTAAACTCCCAGTTAAGGCATGAGCCCCGTAGCACAAAAAAACATCAGAATTTATTGTTTTTATCTCAAGGAGAGTATGGTAAATGGCATAGAATCTGGGGGAAAAAAAAAGTTTGGTTTTGACTGAATACTCTCATAGAGGGGCCCATAAATAGTAGAACACTGTAGTTAAAAACTCACATGACTGTTTTAAATACTATTGATTTAAACCACTGGCTAGATTTTATGAATCAAAGTGTAATTTCTAAGCTTTGGCCATATTTCTCAATGCTAAAGCACTCTCTCTTGTGTGCCTTTAGCTGCTTTCCAGACATTCAACACAGGATTAAATGATAGTAGTTACAGTGATCAATAGGTTAAGACCGGTACAATCACTCTTGCCGCTAATGACCTCAGTAGTAATGGGCAATAAAGTGTGGGCTATAATAGCCTCTTGCTGGTACTGCACGCCCTTTGATTCCTAGTATTAGTAGGGACTAGCTACATGAAAAAGTTGGACGTTGGGAGTTAAGAGATGGGATACATTGGCTATATTTCTTAACTATTTAAAACCTTAAGCTATGCTCAGATTTCACCCCCCCCCCCCTTTTCTACGTCATACTGATTTCTGGTCCATTTGGATATGTTTGTTAAAGCCTTCCATAACCTATTTTCAAGACACGTCGGAGCAGAAACTGGGGAAATCTCAGTTTTATCACGTTTATAATAAATTAAGCTCAAACCCACCTTTGAAAGGCTCACAAGCAAACTGGTGTGAAAATGTGGTTTCAGATAGTAAAAGCCAAGTTAAGGCTATCAGGATATAATAGCCCACTTCTGGTTATTCAGAGACCCGATCACCAGGCAGGAGGATTACTCAGGCTTCTTGCCTCTTTCTCTCCTTTGGCTGTGCCTGCTGCTTTAGCATTTTATTACTCATCAGCACCTCCATCAAAATGTCCAAAGGGAAAAAGAAGAGGAGACTCAAGTTCATTTTACTGTTCAGTAACATGACTGCAAACATTGAATAAATAACCCTGGGAAAAGCACGTTTAACTAGTGGCTGTATGTAAGGGTTTATGTCAGTGTTGTGTCTGTATATGTCAGTCCTTTTTATTTTTTTTTAACTTTTAAAATCAATTTTATTGAACTATAATTTACATACAGTAAAATGCACTCAGTACAGTTGGAAGAATTTGGCAGTTGAGTACATTTGTGTGCCTACCACCCCAGTCAAGATAGATGGCATTTCCATCAGCCCCAGAACTTCTCTTGTGCCCCTTTCAAACATAGGCTTTCCATAGTTCTTTTAAAAATTGTGACCAAGAGATAGATTATTCCTATGATGACTCCTGTTATAACACTGTTAATTTCATGTCCATCACCAGTTTCGATCTTACACCACCCTATTCCTGTCTGTTTTCCTGTTCATCACCATCAGAAATTTGGCCCAAGAATATTTATATTGTACGTCATCCAAGAAACGCAGAGGAAAAAAGAAACCTTAAACATGGTTCTTTTGTTTGCTTAATCAAACCTGCCTGTGTGATGATGCAACTCTCAAGGAAAAGTAAACTTCTATTGTGATATGTTGGCTTTAGCAGCTCACAAGATAGTGATTGGCACTCAATACATTTTGAAAAATTCAAAAAGTTTCTTGTGTGTGAAGACAAAGTAGACTAATTGGAATTAATTTGTAGATGGTTAGATGTTTTAATAATGCCTTCTTGTGTTTGCCCTAGATTGAAGGCAAGTTCACTGTTCTAATCATTGGTGATATTTCGTGCTGCAGAGTAGCTTTTTAAAAGGATAATTTATCCATTCATATACATCTGTCCCTTTTTGCATATAAAAATATTCAGACATACCCATCTGTTTTAAATTACAGTGTATCTACATCTACACTTAAAAGGCCACCGCAATAGGAAGAATTTGTTGATGACCTTCCAGAGTTAGGTGAATGAAATTTTTCAAAGGTTCTAGGTCATGTTTTCCAAACAAGGCAAAACTTGCACATAAACATCCCCTCGCACAAAACATGCCCACAACAACAGTGGAGGATGTTCACTGTACGTGAATCTGACCTTCAGGAACCATTTTTAGTTCATCAAAATTAGTGATGCTGAGAAATCGGGACATCAGTGCATAATGACTGTGAAATTAGGAATGAGAGCTCGCTATGCAAATGACAGGACAAATCATGTGAAAAAGTCAAGATAAACTGCGTATTAAGACATTATGTTACATAAAATTAATACTGCATTTCTCCCTTTTGCTTACTGCTCCCCTGAAAGATTTTTTTAATTCTTTTATCTTCTGATCAGCTATTGTCTGCCAGATTTTTTTTTTTAAGTGGCACACAGGCAAAGTGCAAAACATGTTATTACCTTTTATTGTAATACATGAGATGACAGGAGATCCTTTTTAACAAAGTATATCCTTTACTGCTTCTAGCTTCTTGCTGTCACATGTTTGATTAGAAACCAAAGAAAAGTAAGATGCTTAAATATTACTGTTAGAAGACATACAGGTTTTGTCTTTTCTTTCATTGTTTTTTTTTTTTTTCCTTTCCTTTTTATTTGGGGGGGCGATTTTTCATGAAATAGTCTTCTTGTATTACGGGGACTGACAAAATGGTTCTCATGTAGTCTGCAAATTAAACACAAGTACAGTGATTATTTTGAATAGCTAAATTACATTCTAGAAAGCTTGCAGAATTCATAGCATTGTCATTAGGTATCCGCTTGAATACAATTTGTGTAACCTTGGCCAAGACAGCCTGTCATTTTAATGTCAGTGTTTTATCTGAACAAGACATCATCCTTTCAGATACAGTGTGCAGGTTCCTTGCAAAGATGCCCGTGCAGAAACGTGTTAACAGTTGCAAATATGAAATGCTATCAAGTTCATCACTGTAGCTGTTTGTCACAGAAATGTCATGGAAAGCAGCTTTTAATGGTATCACACGGAATATGAAAGAATGGAGACATCTGTATGCCGGGTGAATAAGGAAGGGTAAAAGGCATCATAGGAAAGGTCTGTGTTGAAGTTTGCAAGGTGTGTCCAGGGTTCAGTTACCCACAAGACGAAGCGCTCTTTGACTGTCCTTAACATCACCGTCCACACAGTCAGTGGATCATATCAGCTCCCACCGAGAAGGCACCGATTCCCATTTGCCTTCTTCCCTGAAACAAAATTCGAGTCTGTATGAAACTTCCCGCAGCTGAATTGTCACCAGAGACTCTTACTAAACTGACATCGTTCTCACGGAACCCCAGGTAGCATCTGTTAAGCCTTGACTCCTTGTCCGCTTGCAAGACTGGTCTGCACGCCCGTCAGTGCTGCGAGGTCTTCTTGTGCTTTTCTTCATTTCACGTAAAGTCCGTAATCGATGAAACAGGATCGGTTGCCCCGTCCCCTCTAGAGAAACACCCTGCACGTGGGAAACCGGTCGGTTCTTGAAGCAGGCTCGTGACAGTCTGCCGTTGACCCCGGAAGGCTGAGTGCTGCGTGCGCGCCATTTCCTGGCTTCCTATTTATCCTTCATTAACGTTCTAGGTTCCCGTGTCAGTGGCTATGATGACACCTCAAGTTATCACTCCCCAGCAAATGCAGCAGATCCTGCAGCAACAGGTGCTGAGCCCTCAGCAGCTCCAGGTCCTCCTCCAGCAGCAGCAGGCCCTCATGCTCCAACAGGTAACCGCCCATCCTCCTCCTCACAGGGCCGGTGACTCCATCCGCCCCTCCCTGCCCCTGATCAGTTCCTCTTCCCAGTGAAGGAAAAGCAGAGCAGGGTGGCTGGGGCAGGACTCAGGGAGCAGGTCGGACCCCTGAATAATCGATTTTAGTTTGCGTCCCGGAAAGGGAGGGACCCCGCCTGAAGTGACGGGGTGGGGGTTGGGGGGTCGGGTCCCGGAGAGTCCCCGCCGGGCTGAGATCAGGGCTGTAATTGGACTCGATAAGACTTAGATGGCTTGAGGCTCTTGTGTGTGGTAAGCCCAGGGGCTTGTAAATGGAGGGAGCCGAAGCGAAATGGGGAGCACGTTTAACCGTGACAGCTCTCGAAGTCCCCGTGTCAACTCAGAAGCTCACACAAGTTTTACTCTCAGACATACGGAGGCGTCGCTGAGTTGGTTCCTTTGAAGGGGCAGGGTTCTCTTGACTTCGGTGATGTGTGCTGAGGCAGACATGCGCTTCCGGCTGCCATTGTGCCCCGGGGCCCTAATACTCAGCCTTCACGGACACCTGAACCCAAGAGATGAGATTCAGAAGTAGAGAGACCCATGTTGCTGAGCTGAGGTGGTGGGGACAGGAGGCAGAGGAAGCTGCTCATGCTGTTGGCACAGACACCGTGACCAGCCCACCACCCCGGCCGGCCCCATTCACCCAGAGAGCATGCGCACGTTGCACAGTAGCGATCCGCCAGGCTCTCTCCCCGCAAGGGCACTCTGGCTTTGTTGTACAACCAAAGGTCATCCCTTGCTTTATTTTAATTAGTTTGTGTAGAAAAAGGTATGTTTTTCACCAGTTCATTTTGGAGATTACTTTTCAAACAATGATGCCAGGAATAGTCAGCGTGCGCTGAAATTTACTGTCGCGTTTCAAGCTAAAGGTCAGGCCGTTACAGATAAAAGGATGCTATTTTTCAAATCACAGTTGTGGATGGCACCGAAAGGGACAGTGGGCTGGCGCTACCCTCTGTTACTTACCGCCCTCTCTTTCCTTTGTAGCAGCAGCTTCAAGAGTTTTATAAAAAACAACAGGAACAGTTGCAGCTTCAACTTTTACAACAACAACATGCTGGAAAACAGCCTAAAGAGGTACCGACAATACATATTTTACTTTCAAACCACAGATCCCGGAGGACGATCTAGTGGCTATTAAACTGTCATTCATCTTTTAAATGATTGCACAACTGAGCTATCGGTTCTCAGCTTTCAGGCCGAGAGTTAGTGTCCTGTTCTTTCTGAGATTTCTCTGGGTTCCGCTTGCTTGCTGCCCCAGGCTTGATGCTGGCACTGCGGCGGGTGCCCCACTGGGGAGCGCCGGGAAGCAGGATGGCGGGCAGAACCTTCGAGGCTCCTTTGGCAGACTGGTGCAGCCGCGGGCCGAGTTGGACCTGTGGGGCAAGTGCAGCGCATTCAGCACAGTTTTACCTGGACACACACCTGACATTTTCCCCAGCTCAGGGAGCTTGGGTGTGTGGGGATGGCCCTTTCCTTTGCAAGAGTAAGCTCTTGTGAGGTTGGACAAACAGTAAAGTTAGAGCAAGAATCAGCATTCCTGTCTATGTCCGTTTAACTTCTTCTCACAAGTGACATGCCTATGGCAATCGCTCCGGGCAGGTGGGAGACGGTGTGAGTTACAGGGAAGGGTCCTCTGAGCTCGGGTGACTGGCGCATCACAAAAGCGCATCACCGTGGCTCCTGCGTGCACAGCACTGTGTGAGAGCACGCACGCAGTCCTTGCATGGGCCGTACCACCCCGCGAGGTGACAATGTTAGCTCCGTAAGCGGTACGGCCTTCCCAGGGAGGGTTTCCGTGTCTAACCTTCCCAGTTCCATGTCGGTGAAGGCCAGGCGAGGAGCCTCAGTGTGCATGTGTGCCTTATTGTGACATCTTCCTACGGATTCCAGAGTTATCCGATGTAACTTGGCCTCCTCACGTTCTTACAACGGACTGGAACTCTTTACACCTGTTCACCTTGGGATGACACAGTTGGGAGTTTGGAAAACAGACAGCTCACTGTCCAATTTAACAGCTTCTTCGCTGGCCCTAAGCAAGCAGCCCCTTCCGTTAGCTTGGCGGGGAGCCTTACACGGCGACTCTCCACATCCCTGCCCCTCACGTGAGTGTGAATGCCGGGCAGCACTGATTTTCCACCCTGGGAATGACGCACACATTCTTCCTTGGCCGGCTCCTCCCTCAGCATCAGTTGGGTACTTTATCCATGCCCTGCCAAGTTTTCACCCTGGAGTCCTGTTCAGCAGCCTGGATGTAAACCCCCGCAGAGTAGGGGCAGTTTGGGGGTGAAGGGGAGGAGGTGTTTCAATGAAAACGCGGACACAGCCTAAGTACAGTGGCACGCTACCGGGCGCTGCTCTAATAAAAAAGGGAACAGATTAAAAAGTGTCTAAAATGTAAATCTAAAGGACTAACAGTAATTAAAATGGAAATGGCACAGGGAGGGAAGGCATGTAATTGTGAGATATCACTGTGCAGAAGGCTCTCAGCTTTGTTTTGCTGGCTGTTTTTCTAATTCAGTAGGGCTTACTCATCAGTGGCAGTTCAATGCGCGTTAATGACTCTGGGATTGCAGGCATCACTCTGGACAAAGAAATGATTATTGTGCGGTCAAAAGAAGTTCAAAGACAAGAAGGGAATTTCAGTTTTTTCCTTAGAGATCCACATTCAAGAGCATATAAATTAAGCCAAATGTTAAAAACCACAGTCTGAAAGCTGACTTCAAAGTCACAACTCTCTAATTAATGAACTGCGAGCTTCAGTTTGGACAAGTTGTGGTTTGATGCGCCCATAAATCAACATGACAGGCCTGTTTCACAGTCTCAGACAGTGCTTGTCATTGAGTCACATCAGATGTAAACACAGCAGAAAAAAGAAGGGATATGAAGGAGGTGCAATTGATCAACAGAATTGGTAAAAACCCACTTTTGAAGCACATTATGCATGATCACAGGAAATGGTTACAGCCTCAAGAGGTTTCCCCTTCTGCTGTTGCTTTTTTGAATCCGATTTCTAACAGCCTTCAAAAGGGAGAATAAGAATTATGGAGTTTCTCCCCTGTGGCTCGCAGGCAATAACCCCCTGTTGTTATTTTGTGCTTCTTTCTTTTCAAAGGCATCAAAATTTAGTTTTTTAAAGATCTTTAACTCTATATTTGAAGACAAACAAAAAAGGGCTGCCACTGTCATTCTTATCAGTTACCAGGGATTGTGTTTTTTCTTTCTGTTGCCACTTCTTATTAACCTCTTATTTGGTCTGTTAGACATAGTTTGGAATGCACGTCTGCACGCTGAGAGAACATGAAAGTTCAGATGAGCTCAGAGGGCAGATAAAGAAATGTGAAGGCGAAAGTTACACAGCAGAAGGAAGGATAAAAGTTAACTCGCCCAAATTGCTGCTGTCAGCAAGGGGGGGCGTCTCGGCACACAATTAGGATGGTGGTGTCCGAGTCTGGAAAGGGAGCCCGGGAGAGAAGGGAGAACTCTGGACCAGAACGAGGAGGAGGTGAGACCTTGTAGTAGCCTTTTTTGCATCTGTAGGACAGGAGCTTTGCTGTGGTCCCATTTTTGTCATCCGCTCCCAAGGCGAACGTGATACAAGACATGGGTCGTCTTCACATCCCGAGGGGTAGGCAGACCGGCGGGCGGGTCTCCTTGGATCCCCCCGTGTGTGTTGGTGGTGCCCCTGGAGTTGGCCGACAGCTTTTGTAACCACGATGAAGAGACCCTTATTTTCCCGAGGTAAGGGGGCAGTCTCCTGAAATGCTGATCCAGGTGGTGGTCCTTTTGTGCTACAGTCAAATGGAGTCACATGGTAGCAATTTCAGGATGTGGACTGGTGGTTATGATTTTAACAAGGTTTGAGCTTGGATGTTGACAGATGGAACAAGTATATTAATTTACTGAATCCCCAGTCATTAGTGGCTCATAATTTTGAATCGTCAGCCCCCGCCGCCGCCACCCTTTTCCCCTTTTCGATGACCTCTGCAGTAAGACACTTGATCCCGAGCCAGAACAATGTATCTTTACTCAACTTTTTTCTAAAGTTGCCTCGAGATGTTTCCTCGAGAAAGTTAGGCTCCCCATGGAGTTAGACCTAAGACCTTCTTAGGAGACGACCTTCTCTAGCCCCATACAGCTTCTTAAGTGACTGCCCGTTCATATTTGCCAGAACGGGTATGGAAAATTGAAGGCAGAATTAATTTTAAGTCAGGCTACCAAAAAAAAAAAAAAAAAAAAAAAAAAAAAAAAAAAAAAAAAAAATCCCATCCTGTGCGGGTGAGGTAGGCTCGGTTGATTGTTTTAAAAGGGCCGTTTGTCCGGGCAGTTATGACAGTTTATGTTAGGCAGCAGGGAGGAGCCGAAGAAAGGAAAACAGACCTTTGACTGCAGCTCTAGGGAGGGGATCTGAAATGCAAGGTTTATCAGGGCATTTTAGCATTTTAACACTGACTACTGACCTGTCCAGGGGACTGCGTGGAGACCTTTTTTGTGTGCATTCAATTGTGAGAAGTAAACAAACTGGCTCGTATCCTGTGTTTGGTAACTGGGTGGGGAGCACAGTTTGGCAACCAGTGTTGCTTTTAAATTCTTTCTTTGGACAATGGGCCTTGTATACTTTTATATCCTGGCTTTTCAAACGTGGACAGCTTTCATGAGCTTTTCCTAGGGATGGCCACAGAGACAACAGAAAAGCCATCAGTCATTTTATATAAATACAAAATTTTTAAACATTTCATTTACAGTAAGACAGGAAACGCTCTCCCCAAACTCCAGCACCCCCTCTCCATTATTTTTGACTTCAAGAAGAGCTGGTTCCTCGATCTTTTATTGTGTATCCATGTTGTTTTTTTCTCTTCCTTCCTCCTCCTCTTTTTTTTTTAAGTGTCATGAATTAATATCTGTTGAAGAAGTGAAAAAATCATTTTGACACGAATATAACTATCATTGGGTTTTACATTAATGTGATAACTTGGGAAGGGGTGAAAACAATTGGATCATTTTATGCATGCTGTTCATAAAATGAAAACACTGGCTTTTCATTTAAATGTATTTAAATTTTTGTTGTTAGTGGTATAGAATTTGTTTTTTGGAGTGAAACTCAATTAACTTTCTCAGTGGCACGGTAGTAAGTCTGAAATTGGTTGCTAATATGAGAATGACGGTTTTTACTGCAAAATAAACTGCATGGAGACCGAAAGGAAACCACCATTTTTCTCTTCCTTTGAACTTTTGCATCAGAAGGTCTTGATGCACATAGCATTTTATGGATGTATCAGATCAAGGTCATGTGTTAGGTTAAGTGGATGCAGTTGTTTGTAAAGTATAGTTATTAGAACCTCTGAAAGGGTTGTGTAGTCCCTCCTAGTTGCGAAAGTCTCCCTGATGTTCTGAATGATACTCAGAATTAGGAAGGAAAACAGATCTTGTTCTTTTCTCTAAGAACCTTTTTCTTGGGCCACAGTTTGGGAAGGGTTAAGGCTGCTTTCATAATTGTTAGCCATAATGTGGCTAAGACCTCCACCTCGATTTGATTCCTAGTAGATTAAGGATATTAGATAATTTCCTTCTATTTATTGTACTACTGCGCTGTATTATCTTTCTATCACTCAGATAATTACTGAGGAAATCTACATTAATTTTTTTTGGCTGGAGCGAGGCCTGCTAAACACAGGAATGATGTATTGATGTTTTACACAACAAAAGTTTTCCTCCTGTCATTGTCCAATCAACAAAAAGATATTTATCATACCGTAAAGCCCCTTCTTTTCAAGAACAAAGCGGGGCGGGTGAAGCAGGCCAGGGGAGCTGACCTGGGGGTTTCTGAAACTCAAGCCAAGTGAAGGCATCTGAAGCTTAAAGTGTCCTTCATATTAAACACTCACAGTGGAGTACGATGTTGTTTGCTAAATTATGAATGTGTGTAATTAAAATCTAGTGGCTGTTTCTATGAAAGATTTACAATGTTATTTCATCGTTTGTCATGGCTAATTAACAATATTAGATGAAGTTTTTCTTCTTCAAAGGTCTGAGTTTTTCTCATTTATTTATGTCAGGAGTGATAAACAGAGTAGTTAAAAGCTGCCGGTGCAGGCAAGAGGAAACCAACTTGTTATTCCATACCCCCCCAAGGTTCAGGGTTCAAATCCCTGCAGACTGGAATGGTGCATTCCTTCTCTGTAGTGCGAGTGATTGAACATTGGAGAGTCTGGAAGTTCACATCTCGACTCTAAAAACTCAGGACTTTCTAACTGTAGGTTTTGAAAAGCTGACTGGACCAACAGAGTATATTTCTGGGCCCCAGGCAGCAGAAAGGGAATGCCTCCAGCATCTCCCCCACCCTCCTCATTCTCCTCAAACGTCATAGGTGCTGTCCTTTGTTTTGTTTTGTTTTGAATTTTTTAATGTTTATCGTCATTTATTTTTGCGACAGAGCATGAGCGGGGGAGGGGCAGAGAGAGAGAAGGAGACACAGAATCCGAAACAGGCTCCAGGCTCCGAGCTGTCAGCACAGAGCCCGACGCGGGGCTCGAACTCATGAGCCGTGAGGTCATGACCTGAGCCGAAGTCGGATGTTTAACTGACCGAGCCACCCAGGCGCCCTGGGTGCTGTCCTTTTTGCACCAGCCTGGACGCTGAGCCCTCCGCCAGCCCCCAGTAAGCCTCGGGCTTTGGCCGTGGCAGCATGTTGCGAGACACCCACACTTGGAAACTTCCCCGGGAAGCGGCCGTCTCATCTTTTCCTTCCTGGTCTCTTACAGCAGCAGCAGGTGGCTACCCAGCAGTTGGCTTTTCAGCAGCAGCTTCTACAGATGCAGCAGTTACAGCAGCAGCACCTCCTGTCTCTGCAGCGCCAAGGCCTTCTCACAATTCAGCCCGGGCAGCCCGCCCTTCCCCTGCAGCCCCTCGCGCAAGGTAAGCCTCCGTGAGCCGGCCGTGAGCCTGGCGGCGCGGCCCCGCGAAGACCGTGGGGCAGAGGTGGGGCCGTCTGTTGGGACAGTCCGGCTAGCTCATCGGTGGGGAGACGGTCCACCTGCAGCAAGCATGTGCTGACTTCAGAGAAAAGGCTGCGTGAGGTCACCAGGATGAAGGGCTTGTTGGTGGCAGCTTGAAGACCTGGGGTGGTCTGATGCTGAGCGGTAGCAGAGGAATCCCACTGTGGCGCCTTCTTGGAGTACGAGAAAGCGGCACCACCTTGACGTAGCATTTTAATCAGGTCCAGCGTTGTCGGCTTGGAATCACGAATGAATTTTCTCGAAGGCTCTTGTTGGCCACGTTGAGGTGTATTTTATGTCCTGTAACTTGTTCTGTTTGAAAGCTTAGCAGTGCTTCCTTAAATGCCACTTTTTAATTGCTAGGGATAAATCCAGGTTTATTTTTTGATCAGCTATCCAGATGCATCTCTTTGGTTGGGTTTTCTTTTTTTCATTGCTTATTTGCTTTCGTCTCTTGGTTGTTTTTTGTTTATTTATTTTTAAGAGAGAGAGACAGTGAGAGAGAGAGAGACAGAGAGAATGTGTGCAAGCAAGGGAGAGGCAGAGAGAGAGGGAGACAGAGGCTAGGAAGCGGGCTCCGTGCTGAGAGGGGAGAGCCCGACGTGGAACTCGAACTCACAGACCGTGAGATCACGACCTGAGAGCCAAGGTCGGACGCTTCACTGAGCCACGGAGGCGCCCCACATCTGTTGGTTTTTGAGCAAGTTCAGTTCTACGCTCATCAGAACAGCTAGCATATCTAGCTCTTCTCTTCAAAAACTAGAGTTCCTTGAAAATGAACAAGATTTGATGGGTTTCAAAATTTCTTTTGAGAAGCCATTGACGTGTTATTACAGTGGGTGTTGAACATCAGAAACAGATGAGGATTCTAGCCATTTTAGGACATCGTCATGGTTTAAGCAACTCATGGACATGCGTAATGTGAATGCAAGTGGATTATTCAGAGGCAGAAAGAAGGAAAAGTATGGAAGGAAAGAAAGTATCCTGCCATGTTTTGAAATACCAATCCCCCGTCTTGTGCACGTTTCAGTTGCCCGCTCAGGGCCCCCAGGCTTTGTAATTCTAAAGGCTTGGATGTATATGTTTGAGCCTTAAAGACTAGTAGCTAATTTTGGTCAAGTCTTAGATTCATTTACCTTCTGAAGAGGGTTGAAAATGGGGAACCTCCTTCACCCTTCATGGTGATTAAGACCTGCTCATTTGTTCAGTAACTTTAGATGTCATGTGAAGCCAGTGAGGCATGTCTACATTTGAATCTTTCTCGAGTCAACCACACCCAACTTCTATTCCTTCCGGGGTTTTTTGTTTTTGTTTATGTTTTCAGTGCTGAAACTGGGCTTTTCCCTCTCATGTCCCTCTTGGCCCTCCTCCCCTTTTTGCCATTACTGCCCAACTACTGGGTACATGATCAGCATCCCCAGCGGCTGTCAAAATAGAAGATTTGGTAACCGAGCAATACAAGGGGCGAGGAAAGGACACATCGCCTAATGCATTTTTGTGCTTGCAAAATGTTACAACGTGCATTAATTACACCTTCGGGTTTATAGTTGGAAACATTGCAGGCTGTTCTGACACACCCACTGGACTCAGGCTTCAACCTCTCATCTTTTCCCACCGCTCCTATACTATTAAGTTTGCTCACTAAGGTTCATTGTTATAGTACATCAGTTAAGCTGTCCAAAAGAGGGCAATTGGGCAGTGACAAGACAAGCTCATGTGTAATGTGAAAGAAATGAATGTGCTGATGCATGAAGTGTAATCTCTGCAGTAACATATCAGAGACACCAGTAGGTAATTCACTAGTCATGGCATTGATTGATATGCTTAGCAATCTGCTAGAACTATTAGCCCCTGCACCATTAGGAAGAAGCGTATTTAAAATCCAAGGGGTGCCCTTATGTGTGCCCAAGATACGTAAATGTAAATCCAGTATTTCTAGAGTCCTGTTCTGGCAGTGAAGTGAAAGCTACCATTGTCATTGCCATCTTTTGTGGAATCCGGAGCCTGGTTTTGTCTCTCCTACCCCGTCGCCCAAAGTGGCTTGAGAATTCAGTCATGTTGGACTACAACACAATTTTTTTTTATCAGAGACATGATGGCTTAAAACTGATGTCATTATGAGGTTTAAATCAACTTTCTGCTTGCTTGAACATGGTCACCTGGGTATGGATGTACAAGGACAAAAAAAGGTTGATCAACTCTGTTTGTCTTTGAGCCAGTGATACCTGGGGTTGTAAAATTGAGTTCCACGAGCAGTAATCTGTCAACTGTCCCCACAACATACATTTTTTAAGCCTGTGTCTGCATTTTCTTTTATAATGAAGGGGTCGGTTGTCCTGGAAAAAGAAATGTAGTAAGGCACAGAGGTTATGTGTTACAAATGCCAGTGGTGGCCACTTTGTGATGCAGTCACCAAGGTTCTTTTACATACCTGCTCATGGCCTTGGCTAAGTCACCTTAAACATGTATAAATATGAAAGTATGAATAGACAGTAATATTTCAAAGGCCTTTTTTTTTTTTGCCTGAAGGCATTATGTTATGAAATGGAAGGACGTTTTTGTTGTTTTTAAGAGTACTCTAGAGTCTTCTCCGGTTTATATAATGAGCACATGGGCTTTTCTCTCTGATTTCTTGAAGCATCTGAATCCACCCCCCCCACCCCAAAATCAGTAATTCCGTAAGAAGTATATTTTCATTATTATTCCCACCTTTGAATTTTTAAAATGGGAACTGTAGATTACATGGTTGGTATATATACCTATAATGAATTTAACGTGGTACCGTTATTCCTTTCTACCACATTGGAAATATGTGTGATGCTTTTTGGAAAATTGATAACTGTTTAGTCTGATGAGTGACTAGCTTGCCTTTTATCTGTCTTAATTCTATCATGAGATCCCAGCTGCCAAATAGCAGCATCCTCCTGTAGATAGTACGCACTGAAGTAACAGTTTAACCTCACGAACAAGGTGTAGCATTGATGGAGGAGAGTGATTTGACTGCCTCTCTGTAGATCAGATGAGGATGTTCTTAAACGTAATTATCACAGTCAAATTTGACCCCGAAGTATGCCTGTTGTCAGTGAGTTGCTGTTTTATTTACCATTTCCCCCTGTGAGTGATGAAACGCATTTGCCAGCCCACTGGAATAAAAGGAAAGTGGAATAACATTAATGTACTCTTAGGTGTAACAAGTGTAACAAGACATTTGCCTTTGTCTTTATTGGCTGGATAAACAGCTTGCTGTTCAAAGAACTTCAAAGTTCCACTTTTCTTGGAGGGAAAGTGTTAACGCAGTTGTTCGAAACCGTGTTCTTCCATTTTTTTCACCTCCCATGCAGCTGACCCAGAAATCAATTAGTTTGAGTTGAAAAATAGGCGGCTTGTTCTTTTCATGTGTATTTACTCCCCGGAAAATAAAAATAGGTGTTGACTTGTGTGGCTTTCTATCAATATGCTATCATCCACAGACAAGCCCATTCACTCTTGTTTCCATTGAGTAAACAGTGGTCGGAGGGTCAGCCATATTCACAGGTAATTGTTGGTGTGCGGACATCAGTGGCAGGCCTGTTAGCTACAAACACATCCCACATGTCACTTCGGAAGGTGTTTGAAAATAATAGCCCAGATGCAGCAGAACCGGACGCGGGATTGTGTAGTGACCTTTCCCTTTGTTTAATTTGCCTCCGAGGCTTAATTTCAGGGGACAAGTAATAATTGAATATGCCTAATAACTAAATGCTCATTTGGGACAAAATCCATCAAAATATAATTGGCATTTGATTTTTATGAAGGGAGAAGAAAACCGAGTTGGCTGTCGAGGATGCGTTCTAAGAATATCTGACCACTTAATGTATCATTGGAAGCCTCCTTTTATAATATATATTAATTGCAAATACTTGAGCATTTGAACATTTTCGTGGAGAACCGTTAGGAGAGACCAACTGTTTTTGTTAACGCTCCTCTCAGAAAGGCGGGGAAGGTTATTGGTCTGCTGTGCAATAATTTACTCCTCTTTGATATGCAAACGATCCACGGTGAATATAAAAAAATCCTATCAGACTCATTTCACAGTTCTTAACCACTCGGATTCTCTGGAGTCCATTGCCTCATTAGACCAGTGCTCTCCAATGCTAGCATAATTAAAATCTTTAACAGTTTAGCAAAGTAAAGATGTTTGGCTGATCACGTTGAGATGATTATCTATCCATTGTATTCTAAATGACAAAAATAAATTAAATTTAGACCTTGGCATTTTTTATTATGTGTTTCAAATGAATATAATGCACACAGCCTTCTTTTTTAATTCAATACCTTAGGTTTGGTAAGAAACACGCCTGTTTCGGGTGCTTCTATATAGTCAGAAAATGGCAGGCTTTCTAGGATAGCTGTGTTACAGTTGATTGAAACAATGAACTGCAGTCCAGACATCCAGTTCTAATGTGGAATTGCCTTATGCTGTACAGGGTTTACGATTTCCTTTCGCTGTCCTTTAGAAGGAACTGCTGTTTTTTGTTTGTTGGTGTCGTGAGCTACCATGTAGAATCTTTTTCTTCTCTGCCTGTATGCGCTAGCATATGCATTGAGGTAGGATTTGGAAATCATGGGCTGTAGAGGCATGCCTCTAAATAAAAATGATGAGGCCATGATAGCGAGATCGACGTACTGATTCTGTCTCCTCTTGGGGAAGATACAGGTTGACACTTACTCCTCAAGACCCAGGTCCATTTTGACCCCCTTAGGACACGAGAGAACTTTATTACTCCAAGTTTATTTTATGTTTGCATTTTATTCTGCAATGGTTCATTAGCATTGATCTAAGAAATGACAGTAATAATAGTGTTACTTGTTAAAAAAAAAAAAGTTACACAGTTTTTCAGTAGACACATCCATCAATTAAGCATGTGGTACTAGAAACCAAAATTAATGAGGAAGATAGGTGTGTTAATGAAATAATCATAGTATAATCAATTTGAATGTTAAAAGTTGAAAAGCATTTCAGGAAGACGATATGAATTCATAACTTATGTCTAAAAGTGATTAATAAAAACTATATTTAATAACAAAGCTATTTGTCATCATTTAAGACTTAAGCACAAAAATTATTCATTTTGTGGTTCCTGTTGTCATCATAGTAGAGTTGAACGAATTTATTTTGAGCCCCTTCTTTGTGTCTAAAAATACAACATCTATCTCCTTTTCAAAAATCTAGAAACAACAGTTTGGATGGAAGCATACCGTCTCTGCAAAGTAACTGTGTTTGGAATCCTTTCCACAGAGGTCTTCTATGTGTGACGAGGGCACTTCACCTTGGCTGTTCAGTGGGGGGACACGGTTGTTGCTGACCGTACTTGCCTTACTTGGGAGGGGGGCAAACGCACACACCAAAAAAAAAAAAAAAAGAAAGAAAGAAAGAAAAAAAAAAAACCCTAACACTAGGCTTTGTTTACTGACTCTTTGATTTAATTACTGTTTGAAGAGGACGGAATTAGCTGTTAATTGATTTAATTATCCAATTTGTTTGTTTCAGGCATGATTCCAACTGAACTGCAGCAGCTCTGGAAAGAAGTGACAAGTGCTCATAGTGCAGAAGAAACCGCAGGCAGCAATCACAGCAGTTTGGATCTGACCACGACATGTGTCTCCTCCTCTGCACCTTCCAAGACCTCCTTAATAATGAACCCACATGCCTCTACCAACGGACAGCTCTCAGTCCACACCCCCAAAAGGGAAAGGTAGGAATGAGCCGCTGAGCTGTGTCCAGAACGGTCTCTGCCACAGGCGGGGTGGGTGGCCTTGTTCAGCCATATCTCAGCGATCCCTAATTGGATCCATGTGACTTGAATGTGCCTATAATTACTTTAAGAATGTGTTCAATATGGTTTGGGTGTGAAGCATCTAATTATTTTCACCTTTTCAACATGGAATTAGCGCTTATATAGGTCTACCCTTAAGCTTAAGAACCCAGGCAGGGTTAGTTTTTCCCTGCATGGGTTGGATTTCAAGGGCCCAGGCTTATTCTTTGGGCCAAGGGCTCACCCCACGCAAGCTGAACTCCTGGGCTCGAAACACCTTCTTAGGGAGTAGCAGAGTCTGGTACTAGCAATTGTGAGTCACAGGTCAAGAAAAGGTAGCATTTAGTCGCTCTGTACTGCCCTCCTTGAAGGCCTTTTTCATGGTGAATACTCAGCGAAGGTTTGAAGGATGGAGAGCTGGAAGGGGTCTGTGTATATGCACACACAATCCGTGTATATCCACACAAATTAAAAAAAGAATAAAGTCTTCCCTTCCAAAGAGGACTGCAGTGCTGTCTCAGTTGCTCTATTCCCGTTAGGAAGTGAAGACTTTATATTTTACAATTGCCCTCAGCTTCACTCGAATGTTAGCCGACGCCACGTTTGTTTGAGATAGCCAGAATACATCCTGGGAGCAGAAGAGGTCTAAGAAAATGAAGCTGTTAATTCATGCTACTGGATCTCAGCACCCAAAAGCATTAATACTACTGTTGAATGCTTTTCAGAAGTGGAATATATATAATGCTCCTAAAATTAAAAAGATTTATTTTCAGTGTACTATTTTTAAACCGTTTCCCATCTATTTCGTATGCCCAGCTTCTCCACACAGAAGAAAAGAGACTTTCAAAGTAATGTGTGATAGTAAATGTCACTTCCAGCAGTAAAAACAAATTCTGTATTTTGTTTTTTCTTAATAAAAATGACTCAGTGAAAGTTTTTTAAATTATATTTTTCACTTGAGCAATTACAAATATAATTTCATATATTTCGTGAAATATTGAGCATTAAGAAGCCCACGGGTTTAATTAGATTTGTATCTCTCTACCAGCAACATTTTATCCATTTTGAGATCAGTAATCACAGAAACTGCTATGTGAATATTTGTGCCTGTGTGTGCGTGTGTCCCATTCAAGCTTAAAAACGTGAGAGGGTCTGAGAGATGGAGATAATCTGTTTTAACCGAAACTTGCTACGATCCCTTTAAGATCACTTGGGAGTTTCTGTGGCAGACGTAGGGGAAGTAAAAGGTGTTTTAAATGACTGTTTGGGACATTTTGAAGGATGGAATGGTGGACTGTAAGAATGTGTGTGGAGCCATTGGGCCACATGTGGCTTCTGTTGTTTCCAGTGAGGATAGATTTGTATGTCCGGAGGCCAGTCTTAGCTCTTGCTTTATTATCTCTTACGGTGTCTTTGTACTTAAAAAACAAACAGAAAAACCCTTAACATTAAATAGCTTTCAAAGAAAGGTTCCAGGCTGTCGTCCCCTGCTGTACTTGCTTTTGGTGTGTAAGGCTGATGATGCCCATTTACTGCAGAGTGATCGAATTACATCTTCATCCGTAGGCAGAACGGGCCATCCACTAAAAAAATGCCGACTGATGCACTTTAAGGTATTTGTTGCAATCTTGTCGGCCATGTGGAGCCTGCACGGATTTCCTGTGACACAGAAAACTCTTCTTGTTTAGATGCACTGTGCTCAGTTTCATTCTGAAAGGTTCTATATCTGCAGTCAGGTGATAGATTAGCAATGAGGCAGGTGGGAGAAGAATAGCCCTTTTCAAACATCTTAAGGTGTATTTGAAAGTAAATGGATCTGATGGGCAGTCTAATTCCAGGAGAGTAAGTTTGTTGGAATATTTCGTTTTTTATGGTCCTTCCTTGGCTACACAACGGTTAGGCTTAATCTTCATTATGCTACCTGGCCAAAATTAGAATATGGATCGGGAAAGAACTTGGGTTCTCCTGAGCCTTAATCTGGCTGTAAAATCAGGCTGAATTTCCCACTTATACATGTAAAGAGGAGACAACTAGGACATTATATGCCACTCCTTAATATCTGATCTCTCAGTTTATATCATAGGGTAGGTTCCTAGTTGTGGCTGAATTAAAAGAAAATTCTAGTGACCCTATCTTAGCCGAATGTAGTGAACAAGACAAATGGGTACCTTAGGTTAGAGATAATTCAAAAGTTACAGACTTGCAGAATCGATCATTAAAAATTCAATTATTAGTTAGCCAGCTTTGTGTACGTACAGGTGCTTTTAATGAGGTTTTATCTGGTTTTACCTTACGATTGTTTTTTAAATCAGGAATGTGGTATCCTGTTCAGTGGAAAATGGTAAAAAAAAAAAAAAAAAAAAAAAAAAAAAAAAAAAAAAAAAAAAAAGCCATCAGTATAAAAATACGTTTTCACCTGTGCGCTGCCCAGAGGTTTCTCGCAGGGGTCCCTTGGAGAATTGTCACCCCTTCCTTGGCAGTGCATGTGTGAAACACGTAACTTTGTGGGCTCTCCGTTGACTTCGGCATGGTATCCTTTCCCCCTCTCTGTCCTCCTGGAGCAGTGTCTGAACAAGCAGAAGCCTCTGTCGCACTGAATAATAATCTAGCCCTTCAAACTCCCATCTCAGGTGACCAGCTTAGGAATTCCTCCTGCAAGGATTCAGGAATGCCCTGTGTGAAAATGGGTTGGAAAAAGGCAGCATCCTAGGGGTTTTTGTTTTTTGAAGTAGTCACCTGTCTGACAATCTCACCGAGGTCACATATTTCCGTGTCATTTGGAAACCGCCTCGCCCCCCCCCCCCCCCCCCCCCCCCCCCCCCCCGCTCTTGCCCCCATGCGTTTTGCGGGCTCCTGTGAGCAGCCGCTGTAGCAGCAGCTCTGGGGTCTGGTGAGCTGCAATCTGTTAAGGAGATAAATAATGTGCTTGGCACGACACTCCTACTCTCCTCTTTAATTTGTCTTACACAAGGAAAATTATAATTAAATCATTCAGGGTAAACCCTTGAGTGCAGAGAAGGGAAAAAACACACTTTGGGAAAGATTGCCAATAGAAACCCACTTCCCTGTTGCGCAGGGTAGAGACATTTATCAATATTCAGCACTATTACGAGAGGAGCGGCCCATGTGATTTGTGAGGCGGATGCCAACGCTCAAATCAAGGCTTGTTAAGATCCTGTCCCTGCGCAATCACGGACATTCAGCATCATTAGAATTCAGTACTGGCGCCGTGCTTCGTGCTTTGATTTTCTCCCAGCGATTTAATAATGTTTATTGTGCTGATTATATATACATTCATTGGTGCAATAAACATACCTCGGTTGCCAGCGCCTGGGAGAAGTGTGGCGAAGGTGAAGTTCAGCGGGCAGGAGCTAGAGGTAGCTGAAGAGGAAGCAGGCACGTTCGCCTCTCTCACTGCCATTTTATTCCCGCGGACCAGGGAGCCGTGACGTCTTAGACGAAGAGATGAAACTCAGACCTGGGATACCTGTGAACGTGAAGCTGTGATGTTGTTTCCTTGACTTGCCTGACTGTCTTGCTTTAGGAAATTCCAAGTTTTGGTGTGGGTAAACAAAACCAACGGAATGCAAATGAAACATTTATTAAAATGCTAAATTTAGTAAAGCCCTTTGAGCTTCTTGGATCAAAGCAGCTATGTAAATACAAATAGCAATTACTACTTAAGTAATTGCCTGAATTAAAATTCTAAATATCACATTATATTATGGTGCACTAGGGAAAGGAAAGTGAACTCACATTTAATCAGTTCTTTCTCTGTCCCGAGCACTGGCTAAACTCTTGTGTTTGGAGTGATGTCTCATTTTATCCTCGAGACTGCTGGGAAGCAGTCGGGAGTATTAGACCCATTTCACAGACAAGGAAATTGAATCATGGAGATTAAATAACTGACAAAGAGTCACAGAACTGGTTTGTGGCCTATCCAAGATCCAAATTCAAGCCCGTCTCTTACTAAACAGCACTTAAGGTTTTCATTCAGCCCAGAAGTGAATATTTAATTACGATAAGAATGACGCTCCTAAAATAAAGTTTAAATTTAATTTAAAGCCAACAAAACGTATGCTGACTTCACCTACTGTGTGCCTATCAGCACATTTTATAGGAAAATAGCAGAGTTTGCTCTTTTAAGGCAGTACTGGTATTTACTGGGCCTTTCCTAAAGGCAGTGGGCGGGTAGGATTTGTAAAATATAAACCACTCACAACGTGAAACAGCACAGAGGGAGCAAAAAGGAACCCCATGCTGGATTTGCACACAAACGCCAAGCAAGCCTCCCTCCCTCTGAAACTGTCCCGCCTTTACTCCTGGCCTTGTGAATCTCGCGTTTCCGCATCGAACACCTCATACGTTCTTTATCCTATTTCCCTTGTCCTCTGCAGTCTGCATTAGAAATATTCCAATTTTCTGACCCTTCCCAGCTTTTTGCTTTCAGTTCAGCCGCCGCTAGCTAACTTGAGCATCGCTGAGAGTCACAGCTGCTCTAGGTGTTAGCGTCGAGGCTTCCTTAAGCACCTGGCGGAAAAGGTTTCTTTCACCTTTGGCAAGACCATGGTTGTGCAGTCTCTTCTCTCTCTGCGGCTGTCCCGTTGTGCTCAGGATCAGGTGGCCCAAGTTGGGCCCCTTCCCTAACCTGCCCTCTGCCCAGTCCCCGTGTTCCTCCTTCCTTCTCGTGTGTTGACACAGCCCCTTGTATTCCAGTTGCTTGCGTTTCCCACTTTTCCACACTCCACAGTGGGCAGCTGCCTTCAAATAACCCCTAAAGGTTTTTGCTTGGCTAGTGCACTTTCAGACACAGTCTCTGTTTCTGATTTGTGGCCTCTTGACATACTGCCATGTGTTTGACTACACGAACAATAACATTTGTGTTTCCCGCCCCACTCTTTTCAAAAGGCAAGGAATTCAAACGTGGACAGGCCTGGCAT